CTACATAGTAATCCTGCGTATGCAAGTTTAACTAGACTTGCAACATAAACTTATCTCAAAATTTAAATATCCTAAATTTTACGTAGATTTATAATTAATACTTTCATAAACCTTATAATTCAATTAGTTTAATACAGCAACTATCATGTATTAGTTTTAATTCGCCTATAGTATAAAGGATATTTTAAGGACTAGATTAAAAGGATATTTTAAATGCACAAATAAATAGTTACATTAAAAAATTTATAAACAATATCGAGTGTAGAGTAAAATATGATTGTTATGACAGAAATATGACAAAATCACCTCCAAAAGTAAGTTTTAACACCTGAAATATAATAACTGTATATCAATTTAATAATAATAATAATAAATATAATACCTAAAAACTATTTTTAAATTGTTAAAGTAATACTGTTAAATTACATAACTATAACAAGACACAATCCCGTAAGTTGAAATCCCGAAAAATCAAAAACCCGAAAGATTAAGTACAGTAGGCTACATACATATTGACTATTACTGTTATTAAATATTTTATGTATAAAAGGGATATGAAATGTTCTGTCACGTGTTTATATGTTTCTCAAATAAATTTCATTTTTTTCGAATTTCGTAATTCCCGAAAGGATTTGATCCTTTCGGGATTGTGATCGGCATCGACTACCAGTAGCGTATCGAGGAAACTCTTACCTCCAATAGGCTGCCACGTGAAATTTGCCGGGTTTTATTCATGTGTCTAACCCCGAATTGGTGCCAGTTTCTATAGAAACTATCCCCGGTTGCACCCACACGTCTCATTGCCTTATACGATCAAAGTCCAGCCAAACTATTTGAAATAAAATAAATAAAAGTTGAATATCGAAGTATTTATTTACGCAAAACGAAATACTTTCTGAATGTTTACATATCATAAAATTTCTATTTTAATCATACAAAATTATATTTTATTTTAGTTCATTTTAAATACAAGGGTGTGTTTTTGAAGTAACATTTTTAAAATCGTATGACGAGAACGAATAGCTGTAAAGATACGTTTCTCACGTCAAAGGAAATTAGCCAATTGCTAAAATTTCGAAATGAATTTACCGGAAACATTTTAAATAACTTCAGAAACTGATATTTTTCAGTATATAATCATTTCCTCTTGTCATTGGTCTTGTCCTTATTCAGCATTTCAGTAGTTATTCAGTTAATCAGGAGAAAAAAAATTACCTTCTCAAGTTTTTTTCCACTAAATTTCATTTGTCCGATTTATACATTAAAGGAAATTTACTTCAACAAGGTAAGTTTAATAAATTAGCCTATTTATTAATCAATTGCTATAATTTTTGTCTATGGGAAACTGACTCCTATTTTGGACACGTGAAGAATAGCAGAAAAACCCGCGCCCAACTTGTTGATTTTATTCACTGGACCGCTGATGGGCGAATAGATTTGACTACTCATTAAGTTGTTCTGGACGTTTAAGACTTATATGTCTCTTTAAATTTCTTTGAAATTGAGGAAGGCCATGAGTCTCAGAGCACCGATTTCTCGCATAAATCGCATATTTTAATTTATTATGGAACGGCGGCACTCAAAAATGAAGTAAAAAATAACGCTACGATACAAGTAGGCTATCCATGAAAAATCGTGTAAGTTGTAAGCTTTGGTTCGAATCAGAATTCCTCATGACTCACAAGTAGCCGAGTGGATAAAACCTCTGACCACTGGTAGTCGGTTGCTGATTTGTGCCTGACTAATGGGATGGACACATGGTTTTTTCACGTTAGTAACACCTAAATAGAGACCAATTTCCTCTAAAAGACCTCCCGGATGTCAACCTTCTTGACAGATCGCCCACGTGTCACATTGTGGTAATGAATTAAGCCAAACCAAACTAAATCGAATTCTTCATTGCATCATGAAAATTTTGTCGCGCAATCATCCCACTGCTTATTAACTATTATTATTTTTTTAACTCTGTTGTGAGTACCAAGAAGGCCTTATTTTTAGCAAGCCCATTATGGCCGTAACTAATAATGGGGTGGCTCATTCCATTGTCGGGGTTTGTCCGGGACGGGTTCCCGTAGAGCGGTAGACTATCACCTTAGCCACTTAGTCATTCGGCAGTCGGTTTGGATTACTACTCTTATAATTTTATTAATTTTCTTGTTAAACGCGTGAAAAAAAGGATGACAGGGTTCCTTTAATCTATATAACGACGTTGAATGTTGGATCTAAAACAAATTTTACTAAACTGTAGATCAAAGAATAAATTTAGAAATTAAAATTTATTCCATGTTTTTATTTACTTATAAATTTGAAAACATGAAATCGTTAGTTTATTTAATTCAGTCATTTTTCCTGTAAATTATTACATAATCCTGGTAATTACGTAAAATTATTTTCTATTTCTTTAAGGAATCCGGATCCGAATGCAATATGGCCTTGCCTGATTTTTCATAGATCCTTAGGTTTTCGAACCTAAAATGATTTTAAGTTAATCTGTGAGTAAGAATGTAAATAAAGTTCGTAAAAATGTTTCGTGTTATGTGAAGCGATGTTTACAGTTTACAGTACATACAGATAATTAAAAATAGTCTTGCGCCGCGTAACATTTGTTCGAACAACGTCCAACCATATAAAAGTCCTTGGTTCCATAGGTCTATTATAATAATAGAGAACAAGGTCTATTGTAATAATATTGAAGAACGAGAAATTTTGATTATTGCAAATCTTGGGGGACATTGGCATAATATGGAAGAGAATGTTTAAGGTTTGGTTTAGATTTAGTTTAAGATTAAATTGATGAGATACGGCAACATGTGGGCGATTAACCACAGTTGATGCCTCCCGGAAGCACTTTCTGTGGGAAAATGGTCCCTAAATATGTAAAAAAAAAACCCGGAAAAGTCCACGCGATCAACTGTCAAGTGTTCACTGGTTTTATCCGCTCGGCCACTCAAAATCAATAATAGAGGTAATTGAGTCACTGGTAGGCATATGTTACTTGCAGCCAGACATTTGTTTTTTATGACTTTGTCAGTTACTTTTTCGAAACTATTCCGTAAGCCTTATAATAAGGCCTACGTTTCGAAAAATATGATAATCTTGATATATCACAGATATTGTTAGTGATGATAAATGAAATTCGTTATAATTTCAAAATAATAATAATAATAATAAATATAATACCTAAAAACTATTTTTAAATTGTTAAAGTAATACTGTTAAATTACATAACTATAACAAGACACAATCCCGTAAGTTGAAATCCCGAAAAATCAAAAACCCGAAAGATTAAGTACAGTAGGCTACATACATNAATTTATTATGGAACGGCGGCACTCAAAAATGAAGTAAAAAATAACGCTACGATACAAGTAGGCTATCCATGAAAAATCGTGTAAGTTGTAAGCTTTTGGTTCGAATCAGAATTCCTCATGACTCACAAGTAGCCGAGTGGATAAAACCTCCGACCACTGGTAGTCGGTTGCTGATTTGTGCTTGACTAATGGGATGGACACATGGCGTTTTCCGGGATTTTTCACGTTAGTAACACCTAAATAGAGACCAATTTCCTCTAAAAGACCTCCCGGATGTCAACCTTCTTGACAGATCGCCCACGTGTCACATTGTGGTAATGAATTAAGCCAAACCAAACTAAATCGAATTCTTCATTGCATCATGAAAATTTTGTCGCGCAATCATCCCACTGCTTATTAACTATTATTATTTTTTTAACTCTGTTGTGAGTACCAAGAAGGCCTTATTTTTAGCAAGCCCATTATGGCCGTAACTAATAATGGGGTGGCTCATTCCATTGTCGGGGTTTGTCCGGGACGGGTTCCCGTAGAGCGGTAGACTATCACCTTAGCCACTTAGTCATTCGGCAGTCGGTTTGGATTACTACTCTTATAATTTTATTAATTTTCTTGTTAAACGCGTGAAAAAAAGGATGACAGGGTTCCTTTAATCTATATAACGACGTTGAATGTTGGATCTAAAACAAATTTTACTAAACTGTAGATCAAAGAATAAATTTAGAAATTAAAATTTATTCCATGTTTTTATTTACTTATAAATTTGAAAACATGAAATCGTTAGTTTATTTAATTCAGTCATTTTTCCTGTAAATTATTACATAATCCTGGTAATTACGTAAAATTATTTTCTATTTCTTTAAGGAATCCGGATCCGAATGCAATATGGCCTTGCCTGATTTTTCATAGATCCTTAGGTTTTCGAACCTAAAATGATTTTAAGTTAATCTGTGAGTAAGAATGTAAATAAAGTTCGTAAAAATGTTTCGTGTTATGTGAAGCGATGTTTACAGTTTACAGTACATACAGATAATTAAAAATAGTCTTGCGCCGCGTAACATTTGTTCGAACAACGTCCAACCATATAAAAGTCCTTGGTTCCATAGGTCTATTATAATAATAGAGAACAAGGTCTATTGTAATAATATTGAAGAACGAGAAATTTTGATTATTGCAAATCTTGGGGGACATTGGCATAATATGGAAGAGAATGTTTAAGGTTTGGTTTAGATTTAGTTTAAGATTAAATTGATGAGATACGGCAACATGTGGGCGATTAACCACAGTTGATGCCTCCCGGAAGCACTTTCTGTGGGAAAATGGTCCCTAAATATGTAAAAAAAAAACCCGGAAAAGTCCACGCGATCAACTGTCAAGTGTTCACTGGTTTTATCCGCTCGGCCACTCAAAATCAATAATAGAGGTAATTGAGTCACTGGTAGGCATATGTTACTTGCAGCCAGACATTTGTTTTTTATGACTTTGTCAGTTACTTTTTCGAAACTATTCCGTAAGCCTTATAATAAGGCCTACGTTTCGAAAAATATGATAATCTTGATATATCACAGATATTGTTAGTGATGATAAATGAAATTCGTTATAATTTCAAAATAATAATAATAATAATAATAATAATTCTATTTTTATTTTCAAAATGTTCAATGGATGGACGGAGCGAATTTGAAAGTTATTTTTCATTTGACGATTGAAAGGATGACGAATTCGAAAGTCGAAATACTGTATCGTTAAATCAAGATAATTTTTAGATACGTGACTGCAATCATTGCTAATATTTTTTATAATTCATTTAATGTAGATATGTTTCAAAAATACCAAGATATCACGCGGAAGATTATTTCCACGAACGGTAAAAAAATCCGAATATGATAGCAATTTTGATTGTACAAAGTAAACGACCAATCTTTAATTGTAAATGAAGTCGAGAATGCCTTGCATTCTGATAGTATGAGACTTAATTAAAGAATACCTTTCTGTACTTTTTATTGTAGAGTATCTCATTATTATGTGTAATTCAATTGATAACATATAGCTAAAATTTATTTAAGTTTACAAAATTTTCGTCTGAAATATTACTATATTACCGAGAATGAAATGATTAAGGACTAGGCCTACCGCTCGGGGACCACGAATCAAATCCGGGAGAGCAACCCCTTCAGGAATTATTCATGTGCCGTAAGTCCCGGATTTGTCGGTCTCCGTCCCTCACCGCTTAGTGTCATTGTGTGCTTGGCCAAATCACGATGGACATGGAAAAACGCTCCCATAATGTCCACAAGGCAAAACGAAAACGAAAAAGGCTGTATTCATTATAAAATTCTATTCAAATTTCACAAAATTTAATTAATTTTTTTACCTTGTTTTATTTTCGAATCATGTTTAGTGGTTTCATTCATTTGGCCGTTGCTGAATGAATGAAACCACTAAACATTGGTAATTTTACGTTCGCGCCTTATCAAGTTTTTCGTTAATTAATTTGCGTGTCTAATACGTAAATAGGAGGTCAGTTTCTCATAGAAAGTCCTTCCTGGCAGATCGCCAAGATGTTGCATTGTTTTATCCCGTCAATCCAATTCAAATTTAATAGAAAATTAAGCCGTTAGAATGAAGTCAGGCATTTTCTTTCCATTCGAAATTAAATATTTTGAATTCAATTAAAAAGAATTTCCTAGAAAAGTTTTGCAAGCTAAAATTACCCGAGATAACATATTTCCACATAAAGTGTTTTATCTATTTTGTTGTTGATATTTAAAGAGAGAAACTGTTGAAAAATCGTAGATAACGATATTTATTATTCTACTTTATAACAAAGAAATAATAACGGCAACTTTATCAGGAAAATAAAATAAACTACAAACGAATTTGAAAGGTAAGTAATAGTCATTCTTTTTTTTACGCCTTATATTTTCTATTTTTTCTATTAATATATATGTACTGTACTGTATTCATTTTTAAAACAAGCATCAAATATGAGCTGCAATAAAAGCTATTTTAAAAAAGTAACTTTTCTGTTCTTACAAAATCGCGACTGAGTGGGTATAAACCCAATCAGTTTAGTTGTTGGGTTTATGTGGGTTTATATGTTTAGTGGGTTTATACTCACTAAACATTGGCAGTTTGTTGCGAGTTTGTACCTCAGCAGTGGGCTGGCCGTATGGAGTTTTGCGGATTTTTTTACGTGTCTAATATCTAAATAATGACCAGTTTTCTATAGAAAGTTCTCCAGCATCCAAGTGTTGCGTCGTCTTATCCCAATAATTCCGATCCCGTCCCGATTTAAGTGTCGAAATAAATGATTTAGTTGGTTTGTTGGAATACAGCAATGCAACACGTGGTCTCTCTGCCAACGGGATCTTCCTGAGAGGACTTTCTACGGGAAACTGGCTCATATTTAAATGTTAGAGACATGAAGAAAACTCAAAAACTTTACGTGGCAGCCCGTTGGTGAGGTGCGAACCCACGGCTAGTGTTAAATGGCAGCCCGTTCCGGATATATTGGGAAACTCCTTCAGCACCCGGCCGTCCCATTATGGGCCTGGTAGAACTCATAATAAGCTTACCAAAAACCACTTCGTACCCACAAAGCAAAAATATCTATAAAAACACTGTTCGTTAATTTACATAGTTGATAAAGTTGTATTAATTTAATGACACAAAAATTATATTGCAATGTTGCGAAATGTTTATCAATCAGAATTTCCAAGAGCAAGTTCCAACTGTCTCTTTTGTATTATTGGACTGCAATTTGAAGAAAGTGCAGACCTATAAATTTCCATTGTCGTCCATCCGTTCGTTTGTCATTCCTTAACTTCGAGAACGGAGTTAAATAGATGAAAGTCTAGACCAGATATAGACAGCTTAGGAACAGGAGACCCTGATTATATGAACGTTATTTAAAACTGTTAATCATGTTATTTCAATTCAAAGTTTTTCCATGAAAGGTGTTAGATAGATGACCGGCACGACTCTATTCTTAAAGAAAAAGTATGATGAACAAGGCACTAAGTACTAATTTGAGGTGGAGAATATATATTTTAAATTAAATTAATTAAAAATTGCAGTATGGCATTGTGACGCTGTCACAAGAAACAATTGTTCGTTGATCTTTTATTTTTATATTCTATTGATAGTCGATAAAATAAAATAAATCGAAACTCAGATAAAATAGTCGATAAATTGTTTGAAGTAGATTACGAATTTATACAATTGTGATCCTTTATCATATGAAACTTTGTAAGGCATTTCTGGTATATTTTTCTAGCAACATTAAATTGAATTAATAAATATAATGGCCAGTACAATAATAAAATACAAAAGTATTCACAAATTATAAGAAACAATAAATAACTTCATATTCTGTCCTTTTTCAACATCTCAGGAACACACCAGTCTTTACGGCGGAATCGAGCTTAATTTGAGACTCTTCTCCGCCACAATGCACTTCAATTGAACTGTCAAGAAGATAAAATCAGGAGAGAAATGTCCATGTTTCGTGGTAGATTATATTTTCTGCAGGGTTATAGAGAGTAACTGAAAAATTTGATGTAGATTGGTCAAAAGGTTTAGAAGCGTATAGAGAACAGAGATTCTATTTTGTACATATATATAAATTAATTTATACAAGTATTTAAAATAATTTCGTATCGAATTTTTCATTTGCACATAATTGTTACATACAATTTTCATAATTCAAAAATATAAATCATTGAGCTAAAATAAAATTTAATATCACTCTTATTCATTTTTAATTATAAATAAACATTTAAATAAATGAAAATTATCTTATCTTAGACGTTGAAGATAGACGGACTATATTTTTAGAAAAAATGAAGTAAATTTTTAAATAGAAAACAGAGATGTCAGATTAAACGTATTGCAAAATTACAAAACTTTATTTCACAATATTTTGTTTTGTTTCATGATATTACTTTTATGTGTAGAAAATTACATGACGTCATATAGACTTACGTTTACGTCTATGTGGCGTCACGAGAAATAAGAATGTTTCTGGGTGATAAACGAGATAATCAGTGCAATCATGATATAAATCATCGTGCTCAGTTACTACTAGACATTGAGTCATTCTCTGTTTTTATAAATTAAACCGGCCGTGAATGTTTTAATATTTGTTATGGTTAGAAATTGATGTTCTACAATTTTTACATTCTTATGTTCATGTTTTATTTATTATTATTATTATCAGAAACTCATATTAGTATTGCAAATTATAATAATAGACGTTAGTATTGCAAATAATAATAATAATAAATTCAACGATAAAGATTGTCGATTCTGATACTATGGTAGTTTTGAGGTAAGTTAACTAGAACTATAAGAATACATAGTGAAAAATTAGCTAACCATTCGAATTGTTTGATTAATAATTACTCTGTACTGTACCCTGTGTAATAATTACAGAGAACGGAATAGTACAGTACAGAGTACTTATTACTATAACACAATTATACAACACCATAATTGTAATCCTGTATGACAACTAAATGGGGACTAGTTTCCTTCCTCCTTGGTATATTGCCCATGTGTTAACGTTAATTCAGTTGAAACTTTTGGGATAAATAAAAAAATGATAAATATTTTAAAAATGAACAAATTGTATAAAAATCTATTGTAATGTTAATCATAGCTTTTTATCTTTAGAGTTATAGTAGTTTATCTATTTTTACACAGTGACGTCGTATCTGTCTTTGAAAGTCGTTATTTTCTGCTATTGGCCTAACATCTTTTAAGCCTTTTAAGTTAATTTAAAAAATGTAATTTTATTAATATTTTAAAAATTCTTGTAAACACTTTTTTCTGGGAAATATTGAAACTTTAACTAATAAATACTTACATGAAGTGTACGTAAATATTTAACTTTAAAATTTGAATTGAATTTAGAAACTTTTTCGAACTATTTTAGCCTAAATTCAGGATCAAAATCAATAAACAATAAATTCTGTTTATGATTTTTTTTTTCCATTTATTGTAGCATGAAGCGAATAAAGCAAGCAATATTTCTACTGTTTATCTCCGATAATCATTAAATTTTACATAACTAAGGATTAGAGCATTCTTCCTTAAAAGGAATTGTACAATTAAATCTGTAGGCGCCTATCATTGGCCGAGTGGATAAAACCTTTGAACACTAATCGCAGGTTCATGTCTGACAACGGATAGTCTCATAGAGTTTTCCAAGTTTTCTTCACTTGTCTAACATCTAAATATGAACCAATTTCCCATAAAAGTGATAAAATAGTTTGTCAAAATGCCCTTGGCGGATTACGTTGCATTGCCTTATACCATCAATTCAACGCAAATTTGTAGGCTGTATGTAGTATAATTCTCTGAAAATAACATATACGACAGCCAGCAATATATTCTTTTAAAAATTTACTAAAAATGTATCATTCAAATGATTTTAGTAATAATTTTTAAATGTATATTCAGAATTCTTTCTGGTCGCTATGCAATTATACTTATCACGAAGCCTTATCTCAGTAATTTCACTCTACAAACTTTGACTCGGAAACTAGCTAGCACTTTGGAGTTCATGTTTCAACTGATAAAATATTGGAATATTCTTTTATTTAGATAAAAATTGTAAATTAAGAGAAAACTAATTGATAGATAGTTTGATTTTGATATTTATTTTAAAAAGTAAATACAATTTTTCTTAACTGTTTAAGCCTGGGACACTAAGAGGGGGTTCTTTCTCTGTGCCCATCGTGGATCCGACAGGCTCACAATGGGTGCAGCCGTATGGTGACAGACGAAGCCCAATGTATCTAAGTAAGATTACCATGAAAAATTCTGGGGTTCTGTGCCAGTTTCGATCCCTAATCCCTCCAGAGCGGTAGGCAAATGCATTGACCGCTATTCGTCCGCCATGTTCTTTGGTATTTTCTAAATCTTTTATGATATTTTTTTTCATACAAATATTATTTTATTAATTTTTGAACTATTTAATACATTAAAATAAATTCGGTTTTTCAGTCATTTTTGCTTTTATTTTTTACAGATCTAGAATTCTTTATACACTGAGAACATGAGTAAAGAAGAATTTATAATTGGAACGCATTTTCGTTCACTGAATGGAGATTCTAGTGATAACGTTGAAGGAGCAAAAGAACAAATATTAAATGTTAATAATTTGTTAAAACGTAATAAGTTAAGATCGACAGAATCAAAGTAAGTGCATTTAATTGTCTTTCAGTTTTATTTTCTTTAATCCAATATAGTAGACGAAATAGATATATTACTACAATACCAATTACTGTATTAATTTGTAAACAGAATCCACATCTTAATTTCAAATTAATTATTAAATGAAATAAAATGAAACTATCCTTACGTAATGATACCATTTTAACATAGGGGACTCCTGAGCTCTAATCAGTTATGTTGATGAACCTATACGACCTTTGTACCAGTATATAAGATTTTCATTGAAAATTATATCAAGATAATATGACGTACAGCATTTTAACAATATTTACTGGTTCAAATAGTATAATTAAAATAGTTTCGAATAACCGTGGTGATTTATGGAAGTGTAATTTGTCAATAAAGACTAGAAAATATAGTACGGTACTGTTTGTTTGTAGGTTTTAGAGCAATTAATCCAAGATTTGTGCTGCTCGAAGCATGCTTTATAAGTTTTTATAACAATTTACTCTGGTAACTCTTCACGACAACACGCATTTTTTAAAAAGATTGGAGAAATTTCAATTGTAATCGTCATAAAATTTAATTTTATAATTATGTATTTGTATGTGTTTACGTTTTATCAAACATTCTACATTATCATAGATACTCTCGATTCAATTACCCGGATAATCGGGACTCTACTGTAATAACTTTCTCATCACAATATAATTAAATTATCAAATAATTATACCAGAAAATTTTAAAATGAACCCTTAGTAACTATTAATAAGTAATTTCTTATTAATTGACACAAATAGAAAACAGTTTGGATTAAATGTCTTACGTTGGTATCAGCACATTCCAGTGTAAATAGCAATTATAACTACAGCAAGACCCCGCTTAACACGGGGGATACGTTCCTAGATGACAGAGCGCTAAACAAAACAGCTTTAAACGGGGTCATCTTAGCACGTAAATAATGGGGATACGTGAAACAGAACAGAGAATAAGAAAATCTATCAGTTTTTTTTATTTTGTAACATTTATTCTTAAATACTTTTTTATTACATTAATTATAGACTTATTTATTGCTAATATCGATATTTATTCATAAAACATTCATAAAAAAAATTCGAGTAAAGAAGTCGTTTGTGATGAGGGAGGTTCTTCGTCATTTGACATCTTTTGTTTCTTTGTGAAGAAGTAATCTAACGTCGTTTGCTTTTCCTGTTTCCTTCAGCAAGCAGTTGTCAATAGCAAGATATCGCATCCACGACACTTCGTCTTGTCTTTGAACTTCTATCAAAATTTAATTCATTTTGTATAAACTGATCCATAATTTCCGTTATAGTGGCTAAACGTTTTTTAGAAAATCCGTTGAAAGTTCCTTTTGTTCCTCATCTTCAAAAATGTTAATTTCGTCATCTTCATGCACCTGTTGTTCTACTAATTCTTTAAGATCGTCGTTAGAAAAACTTTCCCCGGTTGTAATTTGCAATAATTCTTCAATATCCTGTAAATTTATATTATTCAACCCTGTTTCATTTGCTAGCTTGACAATTCCGTCGACATCAACAATGGATTCTCTTGTGTCAACATCCTTGCTTAGCTCCGGCCATACATTCTTCCATACTCCTTTCAAACATTTCTCGGTCACCTCATTCCAGGAAGGATTGATGTTGTCTACAGCATCCATGATATTATAGTTTTTCCAAAAATCTCTAATGGATTGTTTATCTGCTCCATCTGTTTTATCAATCAGTTGTCAGAATGTCTGCCGCAGATAATAATCTGCGGCAGACATAAAAGTGATTTTCCTGCCGCCAAATACAACTTCGTTAATCCAACCAATGGATCAAGGCGTAATATTAAATTTTAAAGTTTATCGGAATGTCTGCCGCAGATAATAATCTGGCGGCAGGAAAATCACTTTTACTGGAATGCACGTTGTTAAGTCAGACAAATGTGTTGGATGGCTTGGAGCATTATCGATCAAAAGTGGAGCTTTTCGGTTCTAGTTTTTTAAATTCGCAGTAGCGTTTAACAGACGGGCAAAAATGTTCGGTAAACAAATGTAAAACTTTATCTTAATAATATATATAAATTTCGTATTAATATATACAGAATAACTGTTTCCAGTAAAACAGTGATCCTTTAAATATTTCATCAAATATACACGTATATAATATAAAAATAAACTTCAAATTTTTCTCTCAAGGGATAGACATAATCTGGTATATAAAATATTTAATTTATTTCATTCTATTTTATAATTTATTGTTCTTCATCAATAGGAGGGGAACGAAGAAATAAAACCTTATTTTGAGAAGGGCTGGCAAGTAAACACATTAGAAATTCCTGTCATAATTAGAGTTTCATAACGATTTCAAGTTGAAATATTTCAGACATGGACATTTCATTAAATTTATTCTAAAACAATAGCAAAAATCTGAAAACCTCATCATCATTATTTATGCTTATGCAACTTAATTTTTATTTATTTTCACTTTTGTTTCAGGCTTGAAAAATTCGTAAAACAACGAAGCAAAAATTTGCAAATCTCATCCTTATTATCATTAGTAAGTAATTCTATATTATGTTTTGTTGTTTAGTAGTTGTCAAATAAATAAAATTAATGTATCTGCAGTACTTTCGGAATGATAAAGCTTTTTTATTCAATTTTCTTAAGCTATTACATATGAAGTCTTGCATGCACGATCAGATAGATTTATTTGTTTACCTAGAAAATTATTTTTAAGATCTCTTATGTTGTAACTTTTTAACTACGAAAATTTAACAGCATCAATTCCCTTAATACACGCTTGGAGCATTATCGATCAAAAGTGGAGCTTTTCGGTTCTAGTTTTTTAAATTCGCAGTAGCGTTTAACAGACGGGCAAAAATGTTCGGTAAACCAATTCTGGGAAATTTTCATAGTGATCCAAGGTCTTTTACTGGACTCCCAAATTACTGGTAAAGATGATTTTGAAATTCCCCTCACTACTCTTGGGGTTTTGGAATGATAAACAAGCAGTGGTTTTAATTTAAAGTCTCCATTAGCGTTACCACCCAGTAGAAGTGTTAAACGATCTTTTGTAGCTTTAAATCCTGATGCTCGCTTTTCTTCACGGGATAAAAATGTACGTTTTGGCATTCTTTTCCAGAAAAGACCCGTTTCATCAACATTGAAAGCTAATTCAGGAGGATAATTCCCTCGTTCAATGATTGCTATTAATGTTGCTGGAAATGCCGCAGCTGCTTTTGTATCTCCACTTGCTGCTTCTCCAGTAACCTGTATGTCATGAAGATTTTTTCCTGTTTTTAAATCGATTAAACCCACCCACGACTAGCTACGAAATTTTCATTCGTGTCGCCTTTTTCATTCTGAATATGATTAAATATTTTTCTCGCATTTTCCATTATAATTGCTTGACTTAATGGCATATTGCGTTCAACTTCATCGTCAATCCAGATGGAAAGTCGTTTTTCCATTTCTTCAAACACATTGCTTATGGTACGGGTAATTTTTGTTGCCGAAGTCGTTGTGGTTGTAGTTGATGATGATACGATTTTTTCTTCATTTTTTAAAAATTGTCCTTATTGTTGAAGTTGACTAATTTAATGCAGTGCCGATATCAGATTGCCATTCACCTGCATTTTAGTTTCCAGCGAAATGCTCTTTCTTGCCGCTTTGCTTTCTTTTTCTTTGCAATCACCCATTGTAAATACTAAAAAATGCCGTATTTATCGCAATAAAATAAATATAATATGTTTATATCTTTATACACACAATAAAATTGATGACCGATCATAAATCAACTGTGACGCATCAAACGTGCGTTCGGGGAATCCCAACATTGCGTGCGATCTGGGGGAATTCTAATACTACCGCGTAATACCGAAACAGCGTTAAGCGGGGTCTTACTGTACTATTAAAAACAATTCAATTATAAAAAAGTAATAAAAAACAAAAAATAATTTACATTTTTACTACTTGAAATTTATTGCACACTCCAGTTGAAAATCACAGCTCTAAAGTATTCTATCTCGTCACTTGAGATAGAATTGTGAAATAATTATGAAAATTTATGATTTGAATTATTGTAAACAGAATCCACATCATAATTTCAAATTATTTATTAAAAATTTGAATTGAATTTAGAAACTTTTTCTCGAACAAATTGTATAAAAATCGATTGTAATATTATCCATAATTCATCATTAATATTAATATTAATGTGACCGGAGGGTCGACATCTCTTTAGTGTCTCATCAGGACTGACACCACCGTGTCTCGTTTGACACGGAAGCCGAGACGGCGCGTTGATTCGGATTTGACGTAGGTCACGCGAACGGCTGCGTACGCTGGTGATCGGATTCCGGATGGAGATGGGTTGAGAGACAGCGTACCGGAAGAGAATCACTCGGATGCTAGTTTAACAACTAATAATGATTTAATTTCAAAGAAAACATGATAAAATTTACAATTTCGTTAATCATTAGCTTTAAGAGGCCTATAGACAAAAGAGTTTACAAGAGGTTCGCGTGGCGATAAATACCTGTAGTTGAAGGATCCGGTTGTAGTCTTGATGCAGAAGAGGATGAGAACAGTTCTGGACAATGTATATCAGACTAGTCAGAGAGGTAAATGTCCTTTTCCGGGAGTAGATTTGGTGTCGATGGAATCTCGAATTATTTGGTGTTTCGACGACGAAGTTATTCCAATTCGGAGACAATTCGGGTCCGAGTCGATAGTATAATCCGTTTCAGAGGCACAGAGTATAGGTCAAGGAACTGGCGACGATTTTCCTTAAGGTTCGGCGGCAACTTTTTATCTCGGAAAGAACTAAACGGCCATTGACTCTTCGGCCGTTAATTACGCTATTAGCACGATATCGCCCGGCCAGGAAGTCAGCAGGTTATGGGTTTTGCTGTCGAGAAAGTGTAAGTGGAGATTCTCTCATGTAGTAGATGACAACAATTATTGAACAAGTATGACGACATCGACGACCGATTTTCGTTAAAGTTCGGATTCTCGTATCAATGATGAATTATGAAATAATATCAAATTTGCAATTTATCAGTAAATATGTGGGGAGTCAACATCTATATTAATTAATAATATAGATGTTAATAATACTCTATTTTAATAATACTCTATTTGGCAGATCAAAAAGTAGTGTTTTTTTCTGTATATTTGTCACAAAATATTTTTTAACTGATTGTATCATACAATGTAAAACTTTATCTTAATAATATATATAAATTTCGTATTAATATATACAGAATAACTGTTTCCAGTAAAACAGTGATCCTTTAAATATTTCATCAAATATACACGTATATAATATAAAAATAAACTTCAAATTTTTCTCTCAAGGGATAGACATAATCTGGTATATAAAATATTTAATTTATTTCATTCTATTTTATAATTTATTGTTCTTCATCAATAGGAGGGGAACGAAGAAATAAAACCTTATTTTGAGAAGGGCTGGCAAGTAAACACATTAGAAATTCCTGTCATAATTAGAGTTTCATAACGATTTCAAGTTGAAATATTTCAGACATGGACATTTCATTAAATTTATTCTAAAACAATAGCAAAAATTTGAATACCTCATCATCATTATTTATGCTTATGCAACTTAATTTTTATTTATTTTCACTTTTGTTTCAGGCTTGAAAAATTCGTAAAACAACGAAGCAAAAATTTGCAAATCTCATCCTTATTATCATTAGTAAGTAAATTCTATATTATATTTTGTTGTTTAGTAGTTGTTAAATAAATAAAATTAATGTATCTGCAGTACTTTCGGAATGATAAAGCTTTTTTATTCAATTTTCTTAAGCTATTACATATGAAGTCTTGCATGCACGATCAGATGGATTTATTTGTTTACCTAGAAAATTATTTTTAAGATCTCTTATGTTGTAACTTTTTAACCACGAAAATTTAACAGCATCAATTCCCTTAATACACAAACCATCCTGCAAAATTTCTGAAATTTTGTCGAAAATTAACAAAAAAAGTTTTAATGAAGAAGTCAAAGAGCACCATTTAATTAGTCTGATACCATTTTTTTTTCTGTATGTATGGATATTAGTGTGTGGGAGCCACGATTTTGTTCACCTTCTTTGAAGCTTAATAACTCTTGTGCTTTTTGTCGAAAATTTCAGAAATTTTGCAGGGTGTTTTGTGTATTAGGGAGATTGATGCTGTTAAATTTTGGTGGTTAAAGGTCGAGAGGGTGGGAACATAAAGATGAATCGCGTGTTATATCTCGAGAAGAGATATAACACACGATTCCCCTTTATCTTCTTAATGACGGCTTTGCTCGTTATTAGCATTTACAGTTTTTTTTTTTTTATAAAACCAGTCCCTACCTTCAAAATTAAGCTGTTTGTTATTTTATAATAATCAAAATATAAAATGTTTTTAATAATAAAATATCGTAACATATGGCGCTATGTTACACAAGCAGTTGTAAATATTGCCGGGAAAATTAAACAACTCGTTGCTGGATTTTCGTTAAAATAAATGATATTTATTATATATTACGAGACAAATAATTATGAAATTTGTTCCTTTTTTAGAATTTAGAAATAGTTATAAAAGTTTGAAGTGGATAACGTAACAAATAATTTTGTATATAATTGCTTAATTGTGGGAATTACGCGATTTGAACATAAAATAGCAACATCAAAAATAAGTTCAGGCTTAATTTTGGAAACTTGTTTACTAATAAATATTAAGTCCTTTCTCTTCAGAAAAATTAGAATATATATCAGTTTTTCACACTTAAGTATCTCGATTTATTCTCGTCTTCGGCCCAACAGTAGAGAAGTTAATAAAACCACCACCAGTGATCGTCCATGCATTGCGTTGCCATATTCCATCAAACCCAATCTCTTCATCATCAGCATCATTATTCTTTGATTGTCTTCCTTGAATCGATTGACGATCCAATTCTCTCATTCAGCTTCAAGAAACTTTTTTCGTTTAAAATAAATTTTTTTCTTTGTAAAATGTTCCACGTATTCAAGTAGAACTTTTTACAATCAAATAAAACTTAATTAATACTATTTACAATAAATAAAAATAATATAAATATAAAAAAATAATTCAAAGAAAATTTAAAAAGTAGTATGTTACTTATCTAAAAACGTCGCTCCTGAAAGACTACAACTGCAATTCTTCAAACATATCTTATAATAAAAAAGTAATGGGTACTTTAATAATTTTAATACTTCTTGTCTTTCACTTTAGAAGTTTATTACTAGTTAGATTTGACTTGATGGGGTAAATGGGTGATCTGCCAGGGGAATACTCCCGAGACAACTTTCTATGAGAAATTGCTCTTATTTAGATCTTAAACCTGCAAAGAAAACTCGCAAAATTTCCACGTGGCCACCCTGTTCGTTAGGTGTAAATCAGCAACCAGTTTTCATTAGCTTTACCCATTTGCAATTAATGGGCAAAGTTGTTTATTGAAATTGTGTCAAGGAAAGTTAGTCTCGTATCTAAGAATGACCCATGAATTTCTTTTGAGTTAAGACTTATTTACTGAAATATAGTGTCAGTAGCTTATAGAATTGTTAATAAATATTATTTTAAGTAATCGTCAGACACAAATTTTTAATAAGAAACTAGATTATGTATGACTGTTAGAGAAATTTCCTTAACTCGTATGGCATGTGGATAGTTATATGAATTAAATTTATTATATGAAATGACTTTTAAGTGATATTTGATGTCTTTTTTTATGTGTAAATATGGTATTATTAGCAAGGTAACAATATGTATAGTTCTTTTAGTATGAAATATTATAAATATTTTACAATTTTTATATTATTTTCAGTACAAGTATGCTACGCCCTTCGAAAGAGTATTGATTTTCATAGGATGTATTTTAGCGGTTATTAGTGGTGTTTCGTATCCAGCAATGGTATTATTCATTGGATGGCTTATTGATGAATTTGTCGATAAAGAGATTAACGGAAAAATTTCAATCGAAAATACAACAATACCTCAGTAAGTTAATTTAAATAATTATACAGCATGAGTAAAAAGTCGCTTAACACTCTTATACAATCGAGCATGGTAAATTTTTTCTATCTTTATGTTTGTCAATCGGGCTGCATAATAATTTTCTATCAATATCATGACAACATTACTCCTTCCCAACTTAATTGTATTCCTTATTTACTGCCTCGGCCATTACGCTACCTTAATTGAATTGATAATTGTAATACTTATCTTTTCACTGTTCAATTACAAATTGATCAGTGAAGACATAAGAATAAATTATATACCAGTAGTTTCCGTATCATTAGCATACATTATTTTACTACGTAGTATACTAAGGATTTGGAGTATGTTGGCACTCAGCAGACTTAAAGCTTGCAGCTTACAATGTTCTCTTGTTGATCGTATCCAGGAAAGATTGCTTATCACTGATCTAAATCACTTATTCTATTATTTTATATTTTAGACTTAGAATAATAAACAATGCTAATAAATTTTAAATGTATTAAACTATTTTGTTTAAATGTAAATATATTAAGGTTCAGTTATAATTATATATAATATAATATAATTATTATATATTTTGTATTTCTTATAGGATTTTCTACAATAATACGAATAACGAATTTCTAGAGACTTGTAAGGATCTTTCAATAAAAGGCACTTTAGTAGCAGTTTTTCTATTTCTCTTAAACTATACGATGGTGACTTGCTTCAGTTTTACTGCAGAGAGACAAATATTTAGAATAAAATGTTTGTTTATGAAATCTATCCTGAGGCAAGACATTGGTTGGTTTGACACTCATCAAACTGGAGATTTCTCTAGTCGTGTTACGATGTAAGTTATGATATTTTACAACTTGTTTAAAATATCTTTGCTTCTAATCTCGTTCATTTTAATCTTTATTTCTTTTTTTTAGTGATTTGGATCGTATAAGAGAAGGAATAGGAGAGAAAGTTTGTATTTGCATTTACTTCATGTCAACAACTATTCTAAGTTTCATCTGTGCTCTTGCTATTGGTTGGAAATTGACTCTCGTTATTATGTCTGTTATGCCTATTCTGATTGTTTCTGCAGCAGTTATATCTAAGGTTAATATAAAATTTTATTTTAAATATATTTTAATAGCTAATTTATAAATAAAAAAGAGCAAAAAGATTAGTAGTATAAATATACACTTCTTCACAATTCAAGTGAGAAGATATATCCAGTTAAATAATTTGCACGAAAGTTTTTATATATTATGCGTAAATAAATAAAAAGTTTCTTACCTCAAATCTAAATTCCAATACGTTGATAACCTTTGTAAATTTGTAATAATACTCTTTATACAAATGAAAGAATTATTGTAAACTTGATTTCAACTCGATCTAGAGCTTTCATAATAATAATAATAATAATAAGCTTTTGGTTTATCTTTGATCAAAATTTGTGTGAATGAATGCAAGTTATCTCTATATTTGATATTTTTAATGCATCCAGTTGTTTCAAGTTGTTATAATTTCTAATGAGCAAAAGAGATTTTCATTTGGAATCGAATTAATTTGAAGATTGTTCGACGACAAAACTCTGATCCATATTCAGTACCAACGAATTTTACTAAATCTGGTTATGCAGCGATGCTGAATTCGTTTCTACTGTTTGAATCCTCCCACTGTTAGAATTATGACTAGTTCAGTCAGCTTGTTTTATCTATACTAACTTCTATTGGTAACATCATTACAAGATGTCACCAGTATTATATATAGTCCAGTATAAGCAGAATCTTGCTGCTTATACTGGACTAAATATAAATATGTAGTATAACTACTTAATTTTTTTCAATGGTCATAAAATTATTATAATTACGATAATTTGTTTTATCTGTTTTGTTGTTTTATGGTAATTTTATTACGCTGTCCTCTATTCTTGTTAACTCAATACACCGTTCAAGCATCTCAGTATATTTTTTACTCCCGCCCTAATTAGATTTAGCTTCTAGCCAATTAGATTTCTTACTTACATTCTGAGTTACTGAACACAGCTCTTGTGCCAGCGGGATTAGATAAGAATATTTGATTGGATTGATAGAACAAGCAAACGCAACTCATGGATCGTTTTCTAAGGGAGGAGTGTCTCCAGAGAAGACTTTCTGTGGCAAATACTAGTTCGTATTTAAGTGTTATAAGCGTAGAAAACACGAAAAATTTCCAATGCCAATCTGTTGGTCAGGTGCCTATCCATGACCAACTACTAGTGTTTAATGGTTTTAGCATGCATATTGCTCTCGTTTATACGAAATGATTATTTCATTTAATTGCATATTTTCTTCCTTTAAGTGCAAACAGTAAAATTAATTTTCGCTCTTAAAAAATTAAATACCTATTTATAAATATTCATTTCTGTTCGTCTTCATTTAACATATACTCGATAATTTCTACAGAACTTTTAACTTTATTAGAGAAGGTATGAATATTTTCACAATGGAAAAANTAATTTGAAGATTGTTCGACGACAAAACTCTGATCCATATTCAGTACCAACGAATTTTACTAAATCTGGTTATGCAGCGATGCTGAATTCGTTTCTACTGTTTGAATCCTCCCACTGTTAGAATTATGACTAGTTCAGTCAGCTTGTTTTATCTATACTAACTTCTATTGGTAACATCATTACAAGATGTCACCAGTATTATATATAGTCCAGTATAAGCAGAATCTTGCTGCTTATACTGGACTAAATATAAATATGTAGTATAACTACTTAATTTTTTTCAATGGTCATAAAATTATTATAATTACGATAATTTGTTTTATCTGTTTTGTTGTTTTATGGTAATTTTATTACGCTGTCCTCTATTCTTGTTAACTCAATACACCGTTCAAGCATCTCAGTATATTTTTTACTCCCGCCCTAATTAGATTTAGCTTCTAGCCAATTAGATTTCTTACTTACATTCTGAGTTACTGAACACAGCTCTTGTGCCAGCGGGATTAGATAAGAATATTTGATTGGATTGATAGAACAAGCAAACGCAACTCATGGATCGTTTTCTAAGGGAGAAGTGTTTCCAGAGAAGACTTTCTGTGGCAAATACTAGTTCGTATTTAAGTGTTATAAGCGTAGAAAACACGAAAAATTTCCAATGCCAATCTGTTGGTCAGGTGCCTATCCATGACCAACTACTAGTGTTTAATGGTTTTAGCATGCATATTGCTCTCGTTTATACGAAATGATTATTTCATTTAATTGCATATTTTCTTCCTTTAAGTGCAAACAGTAAAATTAATTTTCGCTCTTAAAAAATTAAATACCTATTTATAAATATTCATTTCTGTTCGTCTTCATTTAACATATACTCGATAATTTCTACAGAACTTTTAACTTTATTAGAGAAGGTATGAATATTTTCACAATGGAAAAACTTTGTTTATTTTGAAATTTAGATTCAAGCGAAATCATCAATGTCAGAACTTTCAGCTTATGGAAAAGCTGGAGCAGTTGCTGAAGAAGTACTTTCCTCAATCCGCACAGTAGTATCTTTTGGAGGTGAACGAAAGGAAATTGACAGGTACACAGAATTTTTAAGCCTATTCTAAGGATAAATGATAAAAATAATCAATTTCGTTAAATTATCACCTTACACATTATTTAATTTCCAATAATATTAGCTTTCTTGAAATTATTATATTGACGAGATCATTTTTATAACAATAAGTGTGTACAGTACATCAGTATTTTTCAACTTTTTTTTTTATCTCACGGCACACTTGAACCTATAATTAAATTTCCTGGGCACAAATTTACGAGGAAAAAATCTAAACATTTTATCATCATATTACTTTCCACTTCACCTAATTCTTTTTGTCTATATTTTTTGTAAATTAAATAAAATAGTATTGTTGTTCTATAAAATAGCAGTGGGTTACAACAATAGTTATTTAAACTAATTATTTTTATTTATATAAGGAAAAAAATTAATATTAATTCTTTATTTGCATTGTGGCGTGATAATTGCCTTTAGAAACCTGCCCAATGCCTGCTATTTCTAAGTTAAAATAATTTGAACTAAATATGGACAATTGTAGGTACGTTTTTGATTTAAAGAAAATTTCATTCTAAATGAAATAACCCGGTGTTATGCACATATAATTTTGCTTATGAATATACATTTTTACTACATTATATATAGGCTACATTTATTTATTATAACAATGAAAAACTCGCATAATTAATTTAAAGAGGTTTTAATTTTGACATATACACTTATTGTTCTTTGGGTTTCTTTCGAAAATAATTTATTTCGTAACCTTCAAAAATTTTCTCAGCACACCGCGAAAATCACTGGTGTACAGTACATTTTAATTATAATTAGTAAAATTGTTGTTTACTGAATGATTTTAATATATTTCAGATATGAAAAAAATCTTATTTATGCAAAAAAGAATGGAATTAAACGTGGATTAGCAACTAGTGTTGGGTCGTGCTTGGTATGGTTTACAATTTATTCAAGTTACGCTCTAGCCTTCTGGTATGGAACAGAATTGATCATAAAATCGCATGAAAGTAATTCGAAAGAATATAAACCCAGTACATTAATTATAGTTAGTATTGACTTATGAAAAATTGAACGTAACAAATTAATCAAATGGATTTAAAAATAGTAAATTTATATGTAATTTTTATACAATATTTTTCAGGTATTTTTCAATGTTTTGCAAGCGGCTATCTATATGGGAGAAGCTATACCATACTTTGAGGCATTTGCAATGGCTCGAGGAGCCGCTACTAATATATTCAATATTATTTCACGGGTAAGTTTTATCTGATAAAATTTTACTTAAGCACTTTTTGTGCAATTTATCAACTTACTGATCTCGGAGATCCGCGATCGAATCGAACAAGTAATTAATCAAGAGTAATTCATGGATGATCTGTCCGAGATATGTCGGACCCAGGCTTTCACAACCTGGTCGCTCCCTGCTTTGGGCCAGGCTAAACCTACGATGGATGTGGAAAATCGCCTTGTTAGTGTTCACTGGCAGAAAGTTAAAAAAATAAGAAAAACAAAGTTTATATAATTTAATTTAATGTTATAATCTACAATAATGTTTAATAATTGTCAATGTAAATAAACACTTGTAATCATTTATTGTAGGTTCCACATATCGATAGTTTTTCAGAAACCGGAGAAAAACCAAAAAATCTTATTGGGAACGTTCAGTTTAAAAACGTTTGTTTCAGATATCCTGCAAGATTCGATGTACCGGTAAGTCTAAACAACAAATTCAAATTGGCAGCAATTTATGAATACTTTCAACGAGATATAATTAATTTTATAGGTTTTGAATGGACTTATATTAGAGGGAAAAGCAGGTCAAACAATTGCACTGGTTGGTTCAAGTGGCTGTGGAAAAAGTACTGTTATTCAGCTATTGCAAAGATTTTACGATCCTCTAAGTGGACAGGTAACAATCATTATTGCTTTTTTCTTTGTTGTTTTATATTGAATAATGATGATAATTTGTTACGAAAAATATTCAATACAATGAACGCAATATTAGAGATACATATTTAAGATTATTTTTTAGATTAAAAGCAAGATTTAAAATTTTAATATAGTGTTTTAGCCATTAAAACAAAAAATCAATTGCGTTATATTTTATTTTTTGCTTTAGAGTTATATTTTCTAGTAATTACTCGTAGTTGTTTTGATATATTTCGATAAGTTGCCATTTTTTCATTTAAATATATTTTTGAGTCTAAAAATAATTTTGGATCATATTGAATTAATGTTTAAAGTAGAATTTAAAGTAGGCCTATAAACGATATCTATCAAGTTTATTGAGCTGCAATTTGAAAAAAAACTAGACCTATAAATTCCCACTGTCACCCGTCTTCTGTCAATCTTTCTTTAATCTCGAGAACGAGAACGGAGTTAGAAAGATGAAAGACAAGACCAGATATGAAAACCTTAGGGGCAGAAGGCTCCGATTAACTATATACGAACTTCCATTGCAAAGCAAAAGACATGTTACTTCAATTAAAAACTTTCCTTTGAAAACAGTTAATAGAAGACCGGCACGACTGTATTGTTAAATGAAAAGTATGATGTGCAGGGGCAAGACACTACAGTACTAATTTGAGGTGGAGAGTATATATTTTAAATGAAATTAATTAAAAATATGATTAAAAATTGCAGTCCGGCATTTGTGACGATGCCACAATAAACAATTGCTCGTTAAAATTTATCTTAACTAATTTTATTTTTTGCAGAATTTTTAGTTCTGCATGTATTAATTTTAACGCAGTTCATTGATGAACTACTGAACGCTGTAATTAGTCGCAGGTTCTCACTTCGTTAACGGGCAGGCCATGTGGACTTTTCCGGGTTCTCTTCACTTCACCTAAATATGGGATCAAATGTCCTATCAAATGTCTTATCGGAAGGCGCCCTGATTGACATATCGCCCACGTGTTGCGTTACTTTATTCAAACCAATCCAATTCAATTCGATTTTGTGTTCATACTGTAAACTGTCCTTATACTTTGCAAAATAATTTTACGTATATACGAGTATTTTACTAAATTTAGTTTTATATTAAACGTAATTTAAACGCCTCGCCAATACTGCTAGTTAAGTAATCGTTCTACAAGTAATATCTTTCATTTAATCTCGTATTTTAGACAATTTTGAACAGAAAAATTTTACTTATATTGTTTATTTTAACGTCCATATTTATTTTCATATTTGTTTATTTTATTATGGGGGCTGTCATGTATGTTATCAATTATATTTCTGAAAAGAAAAATTTTAATTTATTATTAAAGACATAAAATATATCTGTTTAATTAACAGATACTTTTAGATGGAAAAGAAATTGGCACGTATAATTTGGGTTGGCTGAGAAAGCAGATTGGAGTCGTTGGTCAAGAACCGGTTCTTTTCTCTTCTTCCATTGCTGAAAATATTCGACATGGTTATCCCCAAGCTACAGATGAAGAAATTCAAAACGCTGCAAAAGCTGCTAATGCCCACGATTTCATTTCAAAACTTCCAAAGGTAATTATTAGTATTTACTTCCAGAGTAGTCAATATAACTCTCGTATTGGTAATTTTAATTTAAAATATTAGAAACAATTAAATTTTAATAATCATATTTTCGAAAATTAAGTTGCTGATAAGAACTAAAAGTTACTACAAATAAAATCTATATGTAAATATTTTTGTTATTACGTTTTAAATGCATTATTGTTCGTTTGAAGATGTCTGCTTTTATGCAACACAAAAGTTAGGCTAGCCTGATGTCAATATCAGAATATTGTCAAGGATAACTTCATCTGTAAAATCGAAAGTTTGCATGTAAAATGATAATTCAGTTTCAATTTCTCTCAATAAAAGTTTTCAATCTCAAACAAGTACGTTCTAATATTCCCTATTTGTTAAAGGACAAGTATAAAATTAATAATTTGATTTTTTGACAACTATTTTCCAATTCGCATTGAAGACTCTCTCAATAGCATGACAATGCTACTGAGTGAGTCCTCAGCATTATAAATTTTAGCATATTTATGCCATGAAGTAGGTTTATTATTTTTACTGTTAGAAAATATATGACCTTTTTATATAAAAAATTACATGTTTGAATTTTTTAGCGCTATGAAACTGTTGTTGGTGAAAGAGGAACACAACTGAGTGGAGGTCAAAAACAAAGAATTGCCATAGCCAGAGCTTTGGTACGAAATCCTAAAATACTACTCTTAGACGAAGCTACATCCGCTTTGGATACCGAAAGTGAATCCATTGTTCAACAGGCTTTAGATCAGGTTTGTAACTGCAATTAAAATGATATTTTGATTACCGTTGATTAATTAGTAATTAATCGATGCTTAAATAGCTTTTTAAAAATATCTTTTATGGTTTTAAAACATTCAACTTTATTATTTGTAAAAGCAATGACAAAAATTACTTGCATTTTCATTGTTGGAATACCAATAAGTGAGATCATAATTTTTCTTTCTGTCATTCCATAAAATTTCTGCTCAGTGGATACAACCACTTAACGCCGACAGATGGTCGCGATGTCACAAGTGAATAAAGGGTTGGCGGAGTTGCGTTTTCTGGGTTTCTGCATATGTCTAACATCTAAATATGGGCCTTTTCCCATAGTAATTACTCTTGAAAGGCATCTTGCTTGGCAGATAGCGTATGTGTTGCATTGCAATTAGTTACCCAATGTAATTGTACTTTGTATAAACGATACGGATTAATTACAATATTCCCATTAATCCCGAATTAATGGGAATATTGTAATTAATCCTTGTTATGAATACGTAACACTCGGGAAAGTAATAGGATTAAGCCACTGTTGAGCTCAACTTTTTGAATATATTCTTGCCTTAGCCAATCTAATTATTATTTTCTTCTTATAGCCCAGATGTCATTTTTCTGTTTAGATAACTTAAGTGATATATATAATATTTTGAATTTCTTTCTCCATTTATCATTGATGGTTTCCTTATGTGTTTCTCTATAAACATATTGTGCTGTGTTTCCAATATTAAAATTTAGATCAAACTTTCTAGTGTCTACATCCTTCTCCCAAACAAGTCTTGTTCATTATATTTTGGTTATTTGTTTTTAACCATGGATTTACGTAAACACCAGTTGCTTAAATTTGTTCTTAAATTCCTCAATCGTTTTTCTCATATTAATATTAATAACCTCACTAAAAATTTCTTTCCGATATTTTTAATTACATTCATAAGAAAATATAAGCTTTATGCTACACCGTATTCTGTCATCGATAATTTTATATTTACTTTCATGTATTTATCTTATTTATTTTATGAATTTCTATAGGCTAGAAAAGGTAGAACGACTTTTGTTGTTGCTCATCGCTTGAGTACTGTAAGGACTGCAGACAAAATTATCTGCATAAACAAAGGAGTCGTTGCTGAGGTTGGAACGCATACAGAATTAATGAAACAGAAAGGACTTTATTATCAAATGGTTATAAAACAAGTACGACTTTTTCATTTTATTCTTAATTGTACTATATATTTTTTAAATATTTTAGTCGTTACTATTTTATAAATAGTTTGATAAAATATTTACAATATTCAAAATAAATGCTAACCTTATATAATCTCGTTATTTGAAACCGTGCCTATATTCTTTATATACAGTACTTTTTTAAAACTGCAATGGAGGGTTGGTTGTAGATCCTTCACTATAAAACGTCCATTCATTCAATTTTTTATTCCTAATTCTTTCAATTTTTTTTTCTCGAGAACTAAATTGAAGTATTGATATTTAAAACGACTAACAACATCCATAGTATTAATTGTCAAGATTTACCAAGAATGTGAAGTACGAAAGACTGCAAAAGTCATGAGAACAAACTATTACAGACAGACTTCAAGAGTAAACTGAAGAAGGGTTTCAAGCTCTAAGCGCGTTTTGGATGATGTATTGATCAAAGTGAAGAATTGAATAAAAGGATGTTGAATAGTCTATAGCGGGTGGCAAACCTTGGGCACGCGTGCCCAAAGTGATACGTAAGGGCCCAACCAGAGGCTAAGCGGTCTTCGTACACTGAACACTGGGAGTTCGGTCGTAGGTTCGCGCCTCGCTCGGACGGGCTGGCCGCGTGGAATTTTCCACGTCTGTAACGCTAGTTTCCCTTAAAAAGGGAACTGGCCAGTTTCCCTTCAAAAGACCTCCCGGAAGGCATCCCCCTAGGCAGATCGTTCAAGTGTTGCGTTGCCATAACAAACAGAACAGATACGTAAGGAGAAATAATTTGGCACATAACGTATCATGCGATTTAGATATATCATGTGTTTTTCAATCATCCTTCCGGTTTACCACACGTTCATCGTTTTTTTCAATCAGCTTTTTTTACGTTTATTCAAGTTAAAGTATATTGTTATCCGACACGCATAAACATATTTAAAGTTAAATATGCTTACAATATGTCACCCAGTCTCAAAAAAGGTTCGCCATCCCTGGTCTGTAGTCTTCAATCAACACCCCATTGTGGTTTGAAATATTATACTTATAGTAATCTAATAACTAATAACTCAAAAGTAGCAGAAAAATTTAATTTTAAAGTTTTATTTTCCCGTGACATTTAGATTTAACTGTAGTATGAATCAGCGATCGACCTATTGTGATTGCTGCTTCCTTTAGATAAACATTCAGGAATGTTGTTGTAAAAAATGATCACCGTTGCAGAATTATTCATTACATAAGTATATATAAGATCAATATATCGATTATATAATTTTTTAAAACTCTTAAAGTTAGTAAAAGTCTTTCTTCTGTAGACGTAAGGGCGAACGAATGTCTTCTAATATGTTATTAAATACTAAAGGCTAATATTCTACAATACTCGAAAAACTGAGTGATTTATGCAAGTTCAGGATATAAGTGTGAAATCCATCCAATCGGTGTTTTTTTTTAAATAAATATTATGTTTGATCGTCGTTTACTCGAAAAATTTGTATGTAACTTCCTTAAAGATCAATTGCAAAGATTCATAGAAGTCATCAAGACAGTATTTTTTTATACCAAACGCGATGCTACAGTTCTGAACACAAATTCGAAACGTTCGCTGGTGTTTGCTGCACGCTGGCATATAAAACATAATTTTAATAACAGACCTGACCCAAGTATCACGATGAATTAGCGTAGGTGAGATGAAGGATGGGAAACAATCCCTACAGTCGTACTGCCAATGATAAATTATAATCTGAATCGGATTCGAACCTAGGATCTCTATGGCAATAAGTTATAAATTAACTATATTGCTATGTTGTTGACTATTATAAATGTATTTTCTTAAAAACTTAAATACTATTATTATCTAATTAAGATAAATTTAATTTTTAAATATACTATATTTAAAAAATTAAATTTTCATAACATAATATGCTTATAAAATTTCTTTTATTATAGAATTTGGAAACTGAAGAATCGATTGAGAACTTTGAAGAACAACCAACAACAAAACTCAATCTAACTCGCAACATAAGCACAATAAGCAATGGGTCCACTAATTTGAAATCAGAAATTAGTCCAGTTCCTCCTCAGGTAATAAAATTTCGAAAATCAATTGTTCAAATGTTGTTTATCCAAATTTAATTTCCAGAATTCTCATATATTAATTGTCAAACCTTCAATTACGATTTAGATCAATGATACAAACGATGATGAAAATATTAATAATAAACGATTGATAAAAGTTGCAGCGCAGGAGTGGCCATATTTACTTACTGGATGTGCTTGTTCTCTAATAATGGGTTTATCTGTTCCTATTTATGGAATAATTATTGGCGATGTTATTCAAGTAAGTGTAATTGAATATTTTTTCGAGCTTATTTCACTTTTGTTATGGTTACAAAACAATTTTCTAAAAAGCACACTTTGTACACTTCATAAAAATAATGATTTTCATGAAAATTTTAAAATAACTTTTAGATGTTATCAAGCACAGATAAAGCACAGATTCGAAAAGACACAATCTGGTACTCGACGTTGTTCATGATTATGGCGGTTATTACTGCAATTGCGGCTTTTCTTCAGGTATTTAAATGGTTATTATGAAAAATTATCATAATTTAATAATTTCGGATATTTTGTAAGGTTATAAAATTAAATTATGACGTATAATCTTTAGTCATTGATGTTTACAATTGCTGGAGAAAGATTAACAATGAAACTTCGAAAGAACGTATTCGCAGTTATGGTTCGTCAGGTTGGTATATAAAATGTAGTATTAAAAATTTCTATTAATACAACGTTATGTAAAAATTATACTTTCCTTTAAAGCATATTGGATGGTTCGATGAAACTCAAAATAATACCGGGGCGTTGTGTTCAAAATTATCGTCTGATGCTTCTCAAATACAAGGTGTAAGTATTTTTATTTTTTAAGCAACGTGTCTGTTATATTTTACAAATTATTTTGAATCTCATATTGAAATGTTTATAGGCTACGGGATCTCGACTAGCTACATTAAATCAAGCTCTCGCCACAATGATAGCTTCAGTTGTAATTGGCATTTATTATAATTGGAAGATAGGTCTAGTCGTTCTTAGTTTTGTCCCTCTTGTTTTACTGGCTACTTATTTGGAAAGTCGAATTATTAGTGGACATCTCTTGAGAGAAAAGAAATCCACAGAAAGCGCCACAAAGGTATAAGACATAGAAACTATACTTAATGATATTAAATTAGCTATTACAGTATCTAGATGTAATGAACGTAATTGATTATGTACTTTCAGGATTCTCAGCATAAATATATTTATAATGAATTTATGAAGATTTTAAATCTTATTACATTCATAAATAATTATATTTTTTAATTTCGACTTTTTTTTTCTCTTTTTATCTTATGAGGACTAAGATGGCCGAAGTTCGACGGGTCCATGCCCAATGGATAAGATTATTCCATTGGGCATGGACTACAATGGAGGAGGCCGGATGATTAGAAGCCAGCCTATCTTTTTCCGTCCTCCTCCATTGTAGATTACCATACCTGAGATAAACTACTCCCCAAAACATTGCTAGGATAACTTACCCAAATTTAACCCCGGATATAACGAAAAAATATCTTGAAAGTACTCAATAGAAATAGCTTTCTGTTATATCCAACGAATTTTATGTAAAAAGTATAAATTTAAAACTGATTATTTCTTTAATTTTATGCATAAGTTATATTCTATTCTTTGCTGTATATATTAATAAAAGAATATAGAATACTGATCAAAGAATAAAAACAATATTAACCGATATTTATTAACTTAATTACACTGCTGGCCATTAAAACTGCTACATCATGAAAGCTGCACGCAACAAATGCGAAATTTGCATGAAAGGATATCTAAATGATTAGCATTTCAACAAATGCTGGCAAAGCTGGTAGGAGTAAGACCACCTATAGTTTGTTTAAAAGGGAAGATCGCAATGCGGGTTTCTCATACGGAAATAGCATTCGCACGTTGGTTGGAAGCGCGTCATGCCTGTGGTCGCTGGAAGCTGCTTAGGAATGCTTAGCAGCACATGTCGTGATGAACGATAAACCGCCGCCCAGGTAGAATCGTAGCCTACCTGGGCGGCGGTTTATCGTTCCGCGCTATTGCTGTTCGCATTGGTCGTGATCCCANCTGATAAAAAAAATAAAAACAATATTAACCGATATTTATTAACTTAATTACACTGCTGGCCATTAAAACTGCTACATCATGAAAGCTGCACGCAACAAACGCGAAATTTGCGTGAAAGGATATCTAAATGATTAGCATTTCAATACATGCTGGCAAAGCAGGTAGGAGTAAGGCCACCTACACTCTATTTAAAAGGAAAGATCTCAATGCGGGTTTCTCATACGGAAATAGCATTCGCACGTTGGTTGGTTGTGTAAAGCTTTTCTTATGCCTCGTGTAAGAGTGCGTCCTACATGACAGCGAAAAGAATCTTTGTACGCGCTTCCAACTCGCGAGCGACCTCTGTCCAGAGTGGATGCGTGTTGTTTAAAAAATGGTGGCGAGACGACTTTGTCGAACGTTTGATATGGAAAATATGATAAGCATTAAAACGTGAAATTTGAAAGGTAAATGCTATCACTAACTACATAAACAACAAATATAAAGAATCTTCATAGAATAAGTTTAAAAAGTTTTTTTGTTTTTAAAATATTGCATTTACAAAATCGGAAGTTCTTAAATTACGTAAAAATTATTAATTGAAGTACAGTATATACAACATATACACATTACTTGTCATTCTGTTTTCATTCATCTACAAAATAAGTCATTTTCTTATTTGGAAGTGCCGATCAAACTTGCTTGGTAACTGCTTCCTGCACGCGCGTGTAGAAACGTTAATAAAAATAATCTGGAAAGATTAAGAAGGTTTAAATTTTCTAAAATGACTCCGAAAGTAATCTAAGAATAAGAAAATACTGTACTGTATTTTAAATATAATTATCTATTTCTTTACTTTACTCACATTTTCGGAAAGAGAAGTGCTTAATTCTTTATATTTCTTTATTTAAATACAGTATTGTAGTTATTTAACTAAAGCACTACTTGACCTACCAGTGGCCAAACGGTTTCGTTCCTTAAACACTGGCAGTTTGGTCGTGAGTTCGCGCCTCGCCTAGGACGGTCTGACCACGAAGAGTTTTCCGGCTTTTCTCCGCGTCTGTAACGCCTAAACAGGGGCCAGTTACCCTTTGAAAGATCTCCCGCAAGGCATTCTCCCTAGGCAGATCGCCGAAGTTTTGCATTGCCATAACTTAATAAAACAAAAAAGCACTACTTTCGACTGTAACTGGAATTAAAGGATAGATTACTGCATCCACATTTAGCTCGAGCGGAAAGCGTTTCTAAGCTATAATGGAGTGACGTGTAGCGATAGCTATTCTTAACATATTCTCGCTACATAAAGAAACGTGGCCTTAGTTTGAACCAGTTTGTTCGCTCCACTTGGAAGCGCGTCATGCCTGTGGTCGCTGGAAGCTGCTTAGGAATGCTTAGCAGCACGTGTCAGAGTTTGATTGTGGTAGAATCGTAGCCTACCTGGGCGGCGGTTTATCGTTCCGCGCTATTGCTGTTCGCATTGGTCGTGATCCCATGACTGTCACGAGAATATGGATCCAGGATCGGCATACAGAATGCCGTGCGTAATCTCAGCGGTCCCCGGTAACTAACGCCCGAGATGACAGACATCTTGTCTGATTGACCTTGCGGGATTGTAACAAGTATCTGCACTGACAGTGCGACGATGTCTGCAGCATCACGGATTAAAAGCATGGTGACCATTGCTGCGACTTCCCTTGATGCTGCACCAGAGATAGGTGCGTCTACAATGGTGCGTTCAACGACGAATATGGATGCAGGAGTGGCGTCTTTTCAGACGAAATCTGGTTCTGCATACAGCATCATGATGGCCGTATCCGTGTGTGGATGCACCGAGGGAAACGATCATTACCAGTGTGCATTCGTCATCATCATGCGGGCCCAGCATCTGCAGTTATGGTATGGAATGCTATAGCTATTTTTCAACAGAATGTACGACTCCATACTGTCCTGACCTTCCTGATTACAGAGAGTGTTTGACAGCACGTTCTCCAGATCTGTCACCAATTAAGAACGTCTGGTTATTGGTTGCAGAGATACTAGCATGCCACCACTTGCCAGCACGTACAATAGATAAACTCTGGCATAAATTGAAGCCGCATGGACTGCTATACCCATACCTGCCATCCAAACTCTGTTCGACTCGATTCCCAGCTTGATGACAGTTGTTATTGCTGCCAGAGGCGCTGCTCTTAATAATGCTTTTTGCCTCAAAATTACCTGTCAATTTAATCATGTCTTTCTCCCATTATACTGTATGTGCACAATAAATATGATTCTGATATTTGATTTCCTTCCTGGTGTAGCATCGTTAATGTCCAGCAGTGTACGTACGGAAGAATTTCTATCACAATTTAATATAATTTACTTAAGAAAATTTTAATTATTTTTAAAACAATTTGAATTATCATTGATGTAGATTTCAGTTGAAGCCATTGAAAATATTCGCACAGTAACGTCTCTTCACCAGCAAGAATCATTTTACAATAGCTACGTAACATTTTTATCAGAGTCATCCAGGTAAAATGTTCATATCAATATGAAAAGTTTTTTTTATATTTTTAGATGTTTTTTAAAATTAAAAACTTAACTAGAATATTTTATAAAAATTTAATTATTTTTTTAATTAGAAGAAAATTTAAGACAAGATGTTTCGCTCGTGGTTTGACCTTTGGTTTTGCACAGAGTATTCCCTCTTTTGCTTATTCCATAGCCATGTACTATGGAAGTATATTGATGGTGGAGGACGACTTAAAGTTTGGAGATCTTTTTAAGTAAGTTGAAAGGTTATTGTTGGAATATTTTTAGAACTTTTATAAATCTATTAACTATAATAAACTAAATGAAATATGATTGTTCATATCTATCAATCTTATTACTTAATTCTTCTTCATGTTCATTTATATTCTGTGATATTTTTATAATTTAAAAAATTAAACAATAATTATATAATTATATCATTTTCATTTTAAATAGAATTACTGAAAGTATTATTCTGGGAACGATGATGATGGCAGAAGCAGTTTCGTTTGCACCAAACTATCAAAAAGCAAAAGCTGCAACAAATAGAATATTTAAATTGTTAGATATCAAATCAAAAGTCGACAGTTTCTGTCAAGCGGGGCTCAAACAGGTAACAATTAATTACAATATACAATAACTTATTTTTAATTATTCTGTTTATTTATTATATACTGATAGACCTAGATTAGACCTCCTCGATATCTACTGATAATAACAGTTGTCGATATTCCTGTAGAGAAAATTTTTGAATAAAATTCTTTATTTAGGGGAAATTCTAAACGGGTATTATTTCAGCTAAGTAATAATGAATTCATTGCTGGAAGAAAATTNCTCTTTGGCTTATTCCATAGCCATGTATTATGGAAGTATATTGATGGTGGAGGACGACTTAAAGTTTGGAGATCTTTTTAAGTAAGTTGAAAGGTTATTGTTGGAATATTTTTAGAACTTTTATAAATCTATTAACTATAATAAACTAAATGAAATATGATTGTTCATATCTATCAATCTTATTACTTAATTCTTCTTCATGTTCATTTATATTCTGTGATATTTTTATAATTTAAAAAATTAAACAATAATTATATAATTATATCATTTTCATTTTAAATAGAATTACTGAAAGTATTATTCTGGGAACGATGATGATGGCAGAAGCAGTTTCGTTTGCACCAAACTATCAAAAAGCAAAAGCTGCAACAAATAGAATATTTAAATTGATAGATATCAAATCAAAAGTCGACAGTTTCTGTCAAGCGGGGCTCAAACAGGTAACAATTAATTACAATATACAATAACTTATTTTTAATTATTCTGTTTATTTATTATATACTGATAGACCTAGATTAGACCTCCTCGATATCTACTGATAATAACAGTTGTCGATATTCCTGTAGAGAAAATTTTTGAATAAAATTCTTTATTTAGGGGAAATTCTAAACGGGTATTATTTCAGCTAAGTAATAATGAATTCATTGCTGGAAGAAAAGTATTGCTTATAATCACGCTATTAAATAAATGTTCTTATTGACTTTTAAAACCCTTTCAATTAAAATTTATTGATTACTTCGTATTAGAACTTTTGAGAGGAAGATTTTTTCTTTTCTCTTCAAGAGAATTAACATGACTAGGTTAAGATGGCATAAACTAGAATTTTATATTGGATGTGTAGATTGACAGGATTACAAATAAAAGTATAGGTGAGAAAATGCAGGAGGCAAGGTCGAGATGGTTTCGGCATATTATGAGGGGAAAAGGAAGCTTTGTTTACTGGAAGGAAGTTTGTGATAAAGGAAACTGATAGGAAAATGAAGACACAGGAAAATGTGGGAAAGAGAAGTAAAACCAAAGAAAAAAAATGGATTACATATTACGAAACTCGTTAAAATACTAATTCTATGAAGAAAAAACAAGCTGAGCTAACTAAAGAAGTAATTTCGTATTGCGATATTCCGATAGCAATATATCAATATTAGAGATGTTTTTTAATATTGACGTATCTGTATATCGATAACTTTGAATTGAATTGAATTGTATATCGAATAACTTTGAATGAAGTCTAATTGATACTGGTTTTGCTTTCAGAAATCTATTATTCTCTAATATTAAAAACAACAAAGCTATAGGCTATACAAAATTTAATTTTTCAAAATATCGTTCAAATGAAAGTGAATTCGTAGATTAGTTTAAACACTTAAATAAATTATCATGTATTTTATAGTAAGTAGCCTTAGTTTTAAAATAAGATTAACTAAGTGTTTAATGTTAAATTTAATTTTTTAATTAATGACAACTTAAAATTTATTCAGGTATCAACATCTGGTTGTATCCAATTCAAAAACTTGTTTTTCAATTATCCAACACGTTCAGAAGTAAAAGTATTAGAAGGTCTAGATTTGACAGTAAGTTCTGGACAAACTGTAGCATTAGTGGGAAGTAGTGGATGCGGTAAAAGTACCTGTATACAATTATTGGAAAGATTCTACGATGCACTTAATGGAGAAGTGGTACGTTCCATTAAATTCATTTGTAAAGTATAAAAGTGTAGTGATATAGATGTCTGTGCTGTTATATTTGTATTAAATAATACTCGGGGACGTAAGGCTTGCACTTACCTAACGCGCTGTACCAAAAGTGTAGCTACAATGTGCAAGCTACTTTCCATTGCGTTGCATATTTATAATTCATACTTTCACTTATACTTATAATATTAATCATCGTATTAGTTTCATACAAACCTAAATGTAAATATAAATTAGTAGTGGAAATTGGACTTACTCTAAAGGAAGCTAGTTTTCTATATACTAATTATATAAAAAATAAATGATATTTTATAATGAAATTCGGTGTGCTACTATTAAATAATTAGCTAAATAAATGCATATTGTTTCATACCTTTTAAACGCTTGGTAGATTTGGGTTTAGAAATTAGGTGCTGATATGCGGATTAACATGTTTGGTAGAAGAATTTTATATATATTTCTAAATAATTTTCAAAATATATTTCAGTTGGTCGATGGTATTAACATCGAGAATCTGAATGTATCTTGGCTGAGATCACAAATTGGTTTGGTATCTCAGGAACCAGTCCTCTTCGGCTATAGCATCGCTGAAAATATAGCTTACGGTGACAATTCCCGACAAGTTACGATGGACGAGATTATCGAAGCCGCTCGTAAAGCCAATATTCACAATTTCATAGCATCCTTGCCAGCTGTAAGAACTCTTAACTTTATAATAAAACTTATTTGGTGCTATTGACTAACTAATTTGAATTTTATAGGGATATGACACCAGTGTAGGCGATAGGGGTACGCAGTTAAGTGGTGGTCAGAAACAGCGCATTGCTATCGCAAGAGCTTTAGTTCGAAAACCAAAAATTCTTTTATTAGATGAAGCAACATCTGCACTGGACACAGAAAGCGAGAAGGTAAATAATATAAAAAACTTTTTTTAAAATAATTCATAATATTCTTCACTATAATAAATTATCTTTTATCCCCTATTTCAGATAGTACAGGATGCGTTAGATCAAGCGCGTGTAGGAAGAACTTGCATCGTTATTGCTCATCGATTATCTACCATACAAAATGCCGACCAGATTGTAGTTATTCAGAAAGGAAAAGTTGTCGAGAAAGGAACCCATAATTCTCTTTTATCAAAAAAGGGTCTTTATCATAAACTGTGCGCCTTTCAATCTGGAAAATTAAGTGATTCATAAAATTCAACACGAACAGTGAATACGTGGGTTAAAAAGTGTCTAAAGAAAATACACTTATTTTATTTATGCCGTTTTTAATGTCGATGTTGATACATTTTATTTATAATATATAGTATATTGCTTGTGATATATATGTATAAACGGTAAGTTTTTATTGATATTGTAAAAATTTTTTATTAAAAAATAAACATGTATTTTTATTTATTTATTTATTATTTTCACCATATAGTATTATCAGGAGCACTATGGTTATATGCATTCTATCAAGCCCGTCAAGGGTTCCACTAGTCTACTTCGGGGCGGAAAGAAAGCGTTTTCAGCTTGCCCTTAAACATTAGACAATATGTTAAAAATGTTAATGACTTTTTAGTAGCTTAAGAATATAATAGAAGTTTTAATATTATTACTAAATGCAACTAAAATTTCCGTTGTAATACTATTTTAATAGTGATTTTTCGAGGATACATTATATTTAAGAATGTAATAAGTAACTCTAAAAATATAATTGTGATTCGGATTATGTTAGACCGATGCATTCGTTACACAGGCTCGAATCTTTACTATTGAGATTGCGCAATGAAGCTTGGTAGGAAATCCAACTGGGATCATAATGTGCAGCCGGAATCAACTTTGTATTGAGCTATTGCTTACATTTCAAAGACAGCAAATATTTTTAATTGCATTGGTTCAGATTGAGTTTGCTTCGTCAGCTCTTCACCTCGTGCTAGCTGTGTTTTATGAGCATTTTTAATTAATATTTTTTATGGCCCTATGACTTTTAATTTAAATATAAAGTATTATAGACATCATAAAAATGTTAGGAAAAAAGCACTTTCTTTCCGCGGTCACAGAAATGAATCAGCCACTCTCTGGATAATGAGATTCTGAATTATGGCAAATTTTTAGCTGCAGTGTAGTCGAAGGCAAAATATGACCTCATTGTGGCAGTACAAAACAAGACTACACGAAGAATCAAACGATTAGAAGAACAAAGAAAGATTCGTAGTAGGAGTGGTGGACTTACACCTGACAACTATTAACCTATACCTATATACCTGACAACTATTAACCTATACCTATATACCTGACAACTATTAACGTATTAATTCAAATTATGAAGAATATGATACAAGAAAAAATTATTTATGAAGTCTCTTAATTAAGCAAAATATTAGACTGTGTACACACTAGGCGTTTTGCGTTGCGTTAAACGCGCGTTAGCAGCGTACACAGCACGCGTTAGCTCGGCGTTAGACGACCGTTTAGTGGAGCATACGCACTGGCTCAGTTTGGAAATGGACGTGAAAGTAATTGCTTGTGTGCCCCTCCTCCATCGTCGCTATAAAAGACGATGGCAGAGGCAAAGAGAATTTTGGGTGCACCCAATATTACGAGATAGACTGACACATGGAATGTTTGCGACGTTGTATCCAAAACTAAGACAAAATAAACCCAAGTTTTTTAATTCTTTTAAAATATCTATAAAATCCTTTGACAATGGTTGGTCTCTTTTAGATTTCATCAATAAATAGATCAGTATCGAAATGATCGTTCTCCATTTCGGCCAACGTACGTCCACTCTACCCGAAAACGCGCGATCGAATGTACAGTAACATGGCAGCACATATATCTCAAAGCGCTCGGCTGACGCCCGCAAAACGCGCGTTTTAAGAAAAATCTATAAACGCGCGTTTGAGTGTGTATGCCTATGCAGAACTCTTGGTTCTTTAAAACGCCTAGTGTGTACATAGCCTTATTCTATTCAAGTTGATTCAACACAAGATAATTCACTCATCAATCAGTTTTGCATTATTATTCGGTTAGTGTTTAAAAGTATTATCTGTAAGCGACTACTTTTAGTTGTGCCAATTAATCATGGTACAGGAGTACAGGACGGACTTTTTGATCTATTGACTGAAACATTAAAGCATCTTAAAATTGATATTAAAAAAAGTTTAATAGTATGCCTATAGAATGATTTGCAAAATAAAATTACTGACATGTTCATATATGATGCTACCTACATCCATGTCTTGAATTTGGTGATAACTGAAACAACAAAATGTTGCGCGTCTGTAGTTTCTTTTTTCAATTTGCTCCAACTTTTGTGAAAACATCACACAAGAGAATGGCCGCATGGATAGAAGTTGTTAGAAAACATCTAGAACATGAAAAAATAAAACGATTAAAGCTAATTGGTGAGACAAGATGGTCAGGAAAATGCAATGCACCAACAACTACATTTGGATATTTTGATGATGCCGCTGTCGGTACTTTTGTAAACTACGCTTATCGATGATACAAGATTCAGACAAGTCTGATGCAAAAAGCAACAGTTTTAATTCGAAGTCTTCTAAAGTTTGAAGCAATATTAACAGCATTTACTTACTTGCATATATTTGAAAATACAGCCTCGTTATCAAGTTATTTACAGACAAGTTGTTTAGATATATTTATTACACAGATCTTAGCAGATTCTACTACAACAAAGTCATATATAAAACTAGCCTATTCCAGCAACTATTTTTGTTTAATCTAACGTTTTCGGCTATATATGTAGTCATCCTCGGGATCGAGCACTTTTAAATAGAATTACAAAATAGATAATTCAAAACTTTATATAAGTATTTAGTAAAAATAGTAAAATAAATCATGGCCGACGTTAAAAATGTAATATTGTGATAGTGGCAAGAGCATCAGAGGCAGTAGCCTAAAAAAGGAAGGTCGTCTCCGTACTTTTTGTAAATTTTAATGGACTACTGATGGTGTGAAACGATGGCAAGAAAAGCAAAGACAAAGGTTTTTACTTTTAGTGAATGCATTGTATTTTATATTTATTAAATTTGTAAGTTTTATTTTGTTCTTCATAAATTTTACAACAGTATCATAAAAGTTCATTCATCGACGTTTTACTTTCATGAATCGTTCAACATTCGTATTCATACCTCCTACTAGTTCTAATATAGCCGCATTCAATTTTGAGAATACACTAGCTAAGCCATTTTTCTTCTTCCGCTTCCAACTCTGTTGTCCTTCCTTATGACAGCGCTTCCTCCAGGTTAAGTCGTGCTCTTTCTTTCCGCCGACATCTTGTACTATGGAATGCAATAAAGTATAAATTTAAAAACGAAATAAGTAGTCTTGGAGATTGCAAACACTTCGTGTAATAAATCCTGACCGGCTGCGGGAACGCGACTAAGACTACGAAGGAGAATTCCTGAGACTCAAACTGAGAAAGGGGATTTCAGGCGTTGGAGAGCTGGTCGTAAGTTTGTGCAGTCGTTAAACAAGTAGGTCATTAAATGAGGAGTGGCTGTAACTTTTAAACATTTGAAAATAGACGAAAGACAAAAACACTTTTTCCTCTGCCACAATTTCAAAATTAGTGACTTCAGCCCTTCTATAAGTATGATCCTTAGAATGACCTATTAAAAAGCTCCAGCTGTCACTACTAGAGTCCAGTAAGTTGTTCTTCAAATACTGAGGGGTACAATACCACTCCTTGCTCTACTGTTTTCCTTACGTGATTCTATGAAAACACATTGTGTTTGTCTTTCCAATATAGTAATTTAGACCAAGCCTCATTTCCTCTTCATTCAAGATTTTCACCGATCTTTCCATTTTTTTTGTCATACTCCACCAAAACAACGATGTTATCTTCGTATCATAGGTTGTTTGCTCTGAAAATGAATGAAAATGCCAGTGACTTCGTTTTTAAATTTTTCAATTGCTCTTCTCATATCAGTATTAATAACCTCACTAAATATTCGTTTCAATATTTTAAATGACATTCATAAGAAAATCGTTTACTGTATACTTCGCTGAAATTCTGTTTAAATTTAATTCAGTCATCAATAATTTTTTTATATTTATTTTTCGTGTATTAATCTTATTTTTGATGAATTTCTATAGGTTAGAAAAGGTAAAACGACATTTGTTTTTGCTAATCGCTTGGGTACTCTAAGAAATGCAGACAAAATCGTCTGCATAAATAAAGGAGTTGTTGTTGAAGTTGGAACACGTGCAGAATTAATGAAACAGAAAGGAGTTTGTTATCAAATGGTTATAAAACAAGTGCGAGTTTTTCATTTTATTTTTAATTGCACTATAAATTTATTGAAATATTTTATTCGTTACTATTTTATAAATAGTTTGATAGAATATTTACTATATTGAAACGAACAAATATTTATTGTGAAATCGTCACAATGCTGGGATGCAAATTTTAATCATATTTTTAATTTATTTTATTTAATTATATGCTCTCCACCTCAAATTAGTAGTGGCTTGCCCCTGTATACCATACTTTTCCTTTAAAAGTAGAGTCGTGTCAGTCATCTGAAAGACGAGACCAGATACGGAAATCTTAGGGGCATGAGGCCTGAACTATATACGAATTTCCGTTGCAAACCGAAATTCACGTTATTTCAATTAAAAAAATTTTCCCTGAACGGTGTTAGATGATAACCGGCACGACTCGGGTTACTATTAAACTCAGATCCCCTTTTAACGGGTGTACCATCAAGGAAGAAAACGAAACATTGCTTAAAGGAAACTCTAGAAATGCTTGTTCCAGCTGAACCTTTCGGCCCATACTTAGAAAAACCAGAAATTACAGAATCCTTAGAAGAAGAGGAGGATATCATTTATAAAGAATCATTTAAATAATCATAATTTCCAGATTGGTAAAACTTAAGACTTTTATTTTGTTTTTATCTTTCTTGAAAATATTGAAAATTCGTCCTTTACACCATAAATTAATTAACATTTAAGTTTTTTTCCTTATAACTTCTAATCAGTTTTTGCGAAAATATTCAAAATTTGAATGTTTGAATATTTAATTATTATTGAAATATAAAGTTTAGATATTGGAAAAACTGTTTAAAAAAAGAATCTATATGAGCAAATTATATAAATAACTATTTTAATTTACATTATATTTTTTCATATTAGAAAATATAAATAAATAATAATTGTTTAGAAGTGCCGCTATCTTTATACAAATGCAGCTATACATATACTGTATTTTTATTAAAACTTTTTTACAATATCACCAGATGGAGCTACAAGTATTTAAATATACTGTAAATACTGAATTTAAATAAAAATAAAAATGAAATAAATAAAGAGTGAAAAACTGCACTTAAAGGAATTCGATTCTAAAGAAGAATATTACAAATTTTCAATAATTTTTAATATA